AGAGAGAGAGAGAGAGAGAGAGAGAGAGAGAGAGAGAGAGAGAGAGAGAAATATATATATATAGGTATGCATGCATACAAAAATGTAGAAATAAGCATATATATGTATGTATGTATGTCCTGATTTAATTTTGTTTCTACATTTTATTCTACTAAACAGATCATCTTCTACAATCTGCTAATGCATTCCAGTCCAGATCATTTATGTACGCTTCATTGTTCATTGTTCGCGTACCTGCCTCGTGTACAAGAGAGTAGGAAGGTAGAAAACTAGCCAAAGTCACTTGTTCTTAGTAATGTGTGTTAGACATCAGCTGTTCTTATATGTATCCGGGTTTATATTATTTTTTAAATTTCTTATATACAAATGTTTCTTTTTCTTTCTTTTCCTTTCTATTCCCTTATTCCATAAATATATGCATATATATATATATACATATATGGGAATGTGTGTATTTGTATATATATAAATACCTGTAGGTATATAAATTCTTGTTACTTTTTTTATACTCACCAACGACATTATATTAAGATTCTGCTCGTATGACACTAAAAAGTTCACTTCGATAATACTACAAGTCGCACACATTCTTCTTCACCATTCGGAACGATATATTTATATGCTACTTGTTAACATCACTAACGCCCCTTCTACGCAATCTCGTGTAAATTAATACCAAAATAGTTAAAGCATTATTTCGTATAAGTTAATATTGAAAATATGTTCCTAGATACGAAATACCGTGTAATGACTTATTTTCCCCGAATATGGGAAAATAGAACGTGAACGTAATATTTCATTCCAAAAAACGGTCGCATCACATTGCGGCTACATCAACTTAGAGAAATCGTATCGGTCGGTAAAAGGCATGTATTTTTTACGACGTCTCCGTTACAAATGAGATGATGCAATTAATATACTCTTGTGCTCTAATAGTGTCTTTCAAAATGAGAATTTCCTTTTATTTTCTTTATTTGTTCTATGTGCACAATGAACGATAATCAATCTGGTTTTTGGACGAGTTTACAGTAACAGAAGCGTAGTTGATTTGAATAAAATTAGGGACTCGAAATGTAAGTAATATTTTGTGACGCTATATATATATATATGTATGTATATATATCAATATATATGTAGTAAATGGGTAAATGACTTATTCATTCTTGAAAATTACTTTAATTTGATTACTTTGGTTGACAGGTAGCAATAACTTGAAATTTTAACATTTAACGCATGGTTCAAATTGTCTTCGCTACGAGTTATAAAAGATTAAAGGCGAGATATGTATGTTTATCTTTTTCTTTTTTCGTAGAAAATTTGAAAAAATAAAATAAAAATTAGATATGAATACAAGTTTACCTTCAAACGATAGCCGAGAAATTTTTACCCTTAGGAAGATCATAAGTGTTTCCCACTTCAAGAACATACGAATTTCTTAAGTCTTAAGTTTCTTAAGATTTCAAGTTACAATTTTCATTTTTATGATGCGAGCAACAATTGAAAGGAGTAACAACAATACATAGCAGCATAAATGGTGGATGAACAAATGCGTAAAATAAACGCGTGAACGCGTGATAGCCGATGTACGCATGTAACCGTTTGAAAGATTACATAGATTTTAAATGCCGTTCTAGAAATGCACAGGCACGTTTCCTGCGGTTCGTTTCTAACCGTGCAGCAGCATTCAAAATTCCCCAAAGGCCAAACAGTTTTATTTTTCTTTATTTATTCAGTTATGCTATTTACTTGCGCTATTTATCACGCTCTTTATTCTACATGTTTCTTATAAAACTAAAAATATTATACATTTCTCCTTCTCCTACACATTAAACGCTCATTCACTGTCAGGGTCATGTTCATGGCTGAATTTGTAGCCTTGAATCTTTATAATTCCCATCTTTGTTTTTCACCCACCGGCAGCCAGATGCATGTACAAGTGTACACATATTCGTGTCTAAATATATATATATATATATATATATATATACATGCGATGGTACCTAACCTCTAATGAAAGTCATTTGTCATTTCGGCCACATCATCATGTTCTGTTTGACTTCTCATTTCTATTATTATAATTGCTGCTTTGAATGAATATTTTCAGTCCCAACTGTTCTTGTAACAATTTTAAACACATTCTAATTTTTCTTTGATTTTAATACAAATTATTTTCACAAAAATCGACCATAAAATTTGCCTAAGACTGCTTCTGTTTTAATAATAATTTTTTATTTTCCTGTTAACTTGTTTTATTATTATCCTGTTATAATATTAATGTTTCTATTAGTTCGCCTGCAATCGCATCTACTTCAAATTGTCGCACGGCCGAGTAGATAAGAGTCGTCACTGCCAAGTCGGTGCTCGTTCAAATTTCAGCACGGCTTCGGATGCATTTGCTGCGGCCACTCATCCCTTTTTTTTTTCTCTTAACATTCTTCTTTCTGACCCCTGCTCATCACCCTGCTAGTTAGCATTAGAAATTTCAGTTAAATATCAACTTTGCCTCATACAATTCGAAGCATAGAATTATTTATATACAGTGAGTGTGCACTTGTTAAGCCTAGTCCATTGTCCGTCCAAACATACAAATTTTTTTTTTTGCTAATTTGCAGTTACTCGTGAATACATATTAAAATATAAAAAAGAAGCAAACAAAGCATCGTTCCAGTAGACAAATAAATTGAATAACTTTAACAATTCAAAATAAATAGCGTCATTAATATTGAGCTTTGTTCATATAGAGAAGGATACGAAAGAAAAAGAAAACAGCATATTACTAAAAATTAATATATGCAGGGGTATCCTGTTTGCTTAATAACGTCATTTAAACCTTTTGACATACTTTGTATAATTTTTTAATGTTTATCAAACAGAGGTCTTGCTCCATTCCTCTTACAAGACTGCAAGTTGTTTAGGTCTTGAACCGAAGTGATTGAGTGTTTTCGTACAGGGCAGTCCAACTCAACCCACATATTTTTGATGAAATTCATGCTTGGTGATTGCGTAAGACGGTGAAGCACTTTGAGGCAGTTATATGAGAGCCATTCTTGAATTAAGCGGGACTTATGCTTAAGGTCGTTATCTTGGTAGAGCTTGAATATTTCCAAAATACCAAGTTTGTCCGCACTTTCTTCCAAATTTTCCTTCAATGTCCTTAAATAATCCCTCTTGTTTAGAAAGCCATCCATAAACACCAATTTTCCGACTCCATTGGCTCCAATGTATAGCCAAACTATAACATGACCATTGTCATGCTCAGCTTAAGGCATTGGTACAAGAACAAGAATAGGAAACTAAGAGTAGAGTTTACTGGAAAACACATTTCTAAGTTCATTCTTTTCGTTATTTTTGCTAACTAAAGCAAATGCAACGTCATTTCACTAAGAATTGGACGTTTTCGCTGGAATCTCTGATGCGTTTAATGAAATTAGTTTGCTTTCAGGGAATGGCTTAGATGGATAAAAAATTATGATTTTTATATTAAGGGCGAAGAGAACCTGGGGTAGCTGAAAATGTTTGAGCAGTAAGATTTACTATATAATAGCGGTTAGATGAATATCCATATGAAACGCTTAAAGAAGTGAAAAATGTTGGGAATTGTTGAAAAAGTCTACCGTATAAATCGAGGCCAAGAAATGTCGAACATCACTCACTAAAACTTGGAATGTTACTTCCAAGATAACAAGCAATTTTTTGGTTTTGCTTTTTTTTTGTTGTTGTGGGTATTACGATAGCTGATGATAAAAGGCATGCGTTACGACAATCGTAAACGCATTACCATCTGTTGCACTGGGTGCACTACGTCTGCTTCTTCTGGTACTTACAAAAGCAATCAAGCCTGATTATTATAAAGAGTAATTCTTGTAATTAACGTATGAGTTGAAAGGAAAAAGTCATAGGATAAAACAGTTTTTATATACAACTAATCGGGTGAAGGAAGAGCATGAACTACTTGGAGGGTCCTGCCTGTGCCACATTCTCCAGGCATCTATTTCGATGTGTGCATATTAAGTAATTAAGTCAGCCAATCAGTAATCCAATTATCGGCAGAAAGACAATAAGTTATAGCTACCGATTGAAAATATTTTGGATAACAAACGACCTCATATTGTAAAAAGGCCAATGAAAGGGACAGATGGAAATTAGTTAAAAAACCTTATAGTTAAGTATATGTACATATACTTAGTAAAAATTTGTGCGACTTTTCTTAACAAACATCTTCCAAAACAAAGCTATAGTCTGAAAATCTTTCCCAAGACTACCAGTTTATAAGAATTTATGGCACGCAGTGCCGTCTCCATGATTTTTTATTATTTGCTTAATTCGTTTAAAATGAATACATATATATATATATATATATATGTATTATATATATATAAATTGTATATATCTATATGGTTATACATTAAACCAGGCGTAAATCAAAAAATTTCCCTACAATTTCCTGCTTTATTTTAGATACCATTAGAAATCAGAAGAGTGTGAAGAACAAAGACCCGTAAAAAATGAAGAACAGATTCACTAGAATCAATGACAAGAACAACAAACAACGCAACCGCATCAACGAAAACAACAACATTAATGATAATGGTTGGTTGCACAAATGCAAATACATATAAAACATAATGATAACAACATTTAAATTTCTTCATGTAGAACTTTTTTTGTGTGCAAAAACAACAATAGCCAGCAATAGCAAAAATTAATATGGATATTAAATAAAAAGCAAATAAAAAAAAAAATAAATAAAAAAACTACTTACCGCACTTGATACAAAATTCTGTATAATTCAGTTTATATATATATATTTATATTATGTACATATAGAAGGAAAGATAGATAGATAGATAGAGATGAACGTGTAGGTAGATGCACACTTCCGTTTCACGTAACAACCGTTAAGGGTGAGAAATTGAAGTTTCTGTTTCTTGTTCTCTTTCCTCTTTTTAAATTTGTTGTACTTTATCGATTTTTCGCTATATATATATGTATATATATATATATATATATATATTGTGTGTGTGTATGTGTATGTGTGAATAAAAACAAACAACGTATGCTTGGTTTGAGTTCTTAAGATTCGTTTTGAAACAAAAAATTCTTTAAACAATTTAAAAAAATTTTTTTTGTTTTGAGATAAAATAAATTTCTTAAGATATTTTTTTCTTTTGTTTTTAACTCTATAACATTTAAAATGCTTTAAGGATTTTTTTTCGTTTTAATATAACAGAAATCAACCGTATATTCTCTATTGTATGCGCCACTAGAATAAATTTCTGATATTTATTTACGTGAACTTTTAGTGGTAACTTCATAAAAACGAACAAACGTACAGATGGATAGAAGGATGAATGAGATAAAGAGAGGTAATGAAAATTTCTCTTCATGTTTCTCTTCTTTTGAGATACAATAATATACATAATATATCCGTATTAAATAACGTCTCTCTCTGTTTAACCTTTTTGTCCTAATTATCTCGTATACACAACTTTCATTTCATTTGCTTTTTTTTTTTTTTTTTTTGCTAGTATGAACCAAGTCTCAGCTGACTTTTGTTTATATACAAAAATCATATTGTTGTGTTTGTTTTTCATCTTCTCTGTTTAGTAATTCGTTTGTAATACTCTTCAGAACGAATCTCTTTAAATTGTTATTTAAATGCTGGTTTGAAACTTAAGCTCTTAGAGAGTTGTACTGAACTTGATGTGTTGGAAGAAATTTATTTTGCTTACATATGTTTATACGAATATCTTTTTGAATCTAATTTATCTAAATATATATATGCATATGTATACATTAGCATGATCCTACAATTGTATAATTCAGATTCAATTTTTCCCTTTATAGTCATAACGAAATAAAGGATGTATATATATTAAATGATTTTTTTTTAATACTTATACATAAGAGATAATTTCGCACCAATAAATCTTTGTCAGCTAACGATTTATGTGCCAAATATCCCACATTGTTAAATTATTTTTCAAAGGCAAAATGCCAAGGAAAAGTTTCACCAGCTGTTCATCACAATCTTAAATGAAAATTTTAAACCGAACTACACATTGACTTACAAGTCTAAAAAATAAAACTAACAACAGCATTCGGGTGCGCGTATTAATATCATCACCTTCGTAAAATAGCAAAATGTGCCTACTATTTGGCAAATAAGGCCTAAGCAATATGAAAATTTCATTATTTGATGAGGAAATGTGTATATATATAAGAAACTTTTTGAAAAATAGAAAAATTATTGCTTGTTTTTCACAAGAATTTGTTTTAAGACGAACATAAGTGGAAAACCAAAAAGAAATTAAATTCGTCTTGGATAAAAAAAGAAAATAGGAAAGCACACCGCTGGGTAAAAATGATATATCGTTTCCGCTGTGTAATTAAATAAAAGTAAAAATTTAAACAAAATATTTCATTTATTATAATATTTCGAATTTTTTCAATAGGTTTTCTATAGAGGATTTTTTGTTTTTTAAACTTCCCTACTTACTTACAAAAAGGTACAAAATTTATTATTCATAAATCTTTGATGATTTGCTTTCAAAACAAAATGAGTCTTTAAATTTAACGTAATATGATCTGCAAAGAAAATTTTAACGAAAGAAATCTGTCTTTTTAAATATATGTTTAACACATTGTTTTTAGATTCGGCAATGGGTATACGAATATGTGCGCTAAACCTAGGAACTTACACAATCTAACGGGTTACTAACGATATGCCAAAGTTATCGTTGATTATATTTCTAAAGTAAAACAATACTAAGTACAACTTTATGAAGAAGAAAGGGAACTAACTACTTATCCATAATGTAAACTAATTGATGACCTTATTAAGGCGAAGGCAGAGTATTTCACGTTCACGCGGAATCTTTCATCTGGGTATTAATTATGCATGGACATAACTAGGTTTGATTTCCAGAATTCGTATTTTTTGCTTCTATTTACGTTTGTATGATTTTGCTGTTTATTGTAAAGGAACGAACGTCAAATTTGCACCTCATTTTCCTTTCTTTTTTTCGAAATAAATATCGAATGACGGAAGACATACGTAATGCAACTCTACAGCACTTTCAAGTTACACCGTCGAAATGTTCTAGTTAAATGAAAAATACGTAAAAGAAAGATTGATCAAATTAATGATTCAGTAGTATAATCATACAAAGGTAAATAAAAGCAAAATTGTATAAATTTTTAATAAAATAAATGGACTTGCTTAAAGAGCACGTTCGAACTGGTCAACAATACAAAAAGAATAAATCGCAACATCAAGAGCGAATAGTTCAATTGTTAACAGAAATTAAAGATAAGCTTAAATCGCCACTTAGCCGTAAGTTATCATTCTGTATATTATCAATGAATTTATCTATAATGAATGTGCAGTGTTTGAAAATGAAACTTTTTCCTTTTAGTCAACTTTTAAAAATCAAAATAAAATTCGACTTTTTAATTTTCACAAAATGTATCCTTATGTTTTTTATTGCAATACAATTCAAACTGACAATGCAGAAGATGTGCCGACTTTTAATATCCTCGCCTGTTCACTTAATTGGGAGGCCTTGTTGATCTTTTGCGCTTTATCAACAACATTCACAATATGTGATGAGATATGATAATATTAATTATACAGGATAGATTACAAGCGTCGGGGCATTAAGAACATTAACTAAACATTTGGAATGGAAAGAAACCCACTATTTTACTTACCTTTTACAAACATAAACCTCTTGTTTTGGTTCAGTTGTTTCTAAGTAGACACTTTCGTTTGCCATTTATTTACAGCTGTTCTCTTTTATAAATGCGACTTCAGACAACTAATACTAACACAAAATGTATGTTATTTAGATTTCACGTGATTTGACAGTTATGAGAGAGCTCTTCTCGCAGCTGTTGCGGATATGAAAATCAAGAAACTTGAAAAAAAATGAAACCTAACTAACCATACATAATTAGTAAGCATTCAGTAGACTGTGGTAACCATGTATGAAAAATTTAGCTCTCGCTGCTGTATGTAGATGTTTGGCAAAAACGGCTGATTACGAAAGCGAAAGCTAACTTCCGCCCACAGGAATACATCTCTGCGCTTTACTCGCAGAATGCCTATAAAGAAAAAAAGAAGAAGCTAAAACAGCACGTTTTATTAAAAAATTAAGATTCTTTTTGTATTTAAACTGTTTAAGCTGCATTAAACACAAATATGGGTCGCACAAATCGTTCCCGCAAACGACGAGATAAGATGAATTTGATTAAAAAAGCTCGCTATGAAGCCAAAGAGCTAATACGTTTGAAAAAAACATTAGGATTAATGGAAACCGTGGTAGACAACTTAGATGAAGTATCAACAGTTAAAACTGGCAAAGAACTGAAGAAGGTTTAGTTACTACATATATTTATATATGTATATGATTTCTTTTTCATGACAATGGTTTTTACATAGCAGGAAAAGAAAAGTAAGGAGGAAGAGGAATTGGAATACGAAATGGAGGAGGCACGGGAAAAGGGGCAGAATGTGACAATAGTGAACGAGAAAAATGGGAAGTGCCATATCTACAATACCAAAACGTTAAAAGATCAGCATGGCTCCTATCCGCCATGGTTTAAGCCGAAGAAAACCGCTAAACGCATGCGTAAGAAGGCTCATGCTCAAAAGAAAAAATTCAAGCAAACTTGGACCGTCACCAATGTACCGCTGTAACATATACATTAGGTTAACGTGTTAGGATTTGTTAAAACTGTGTTGTGAATCTACTTTTACAGCAAATGTTTTTAAGAAATAAAATGTGATTTTTTAAATTTTAGGATTAACTTGGAATGTGTCTGTTACTAGGTAATAGGCATACGGTTTTATAGTTAGTGAATAAATGAAGAAATAAAAATATTAGGCAGGATGCACCCTTGAAGAAGTTTTTCAGAAAACTCCCCTCAAACACTAAACAGCGTGTTTACGTAAATTGACATACAAGATGCAGTCTTCGTAGGTGCTTCATATCGATATTAATATTTATGTATACATTGAAAAGTATACGCCGTCTACGGATTCGGCCCGAGTAAAAGGTTTTCGGCAAACCTGAATAAAGAATTGCAACATTTATTGTAGACATTATCCTTATGAATTAATACACATACAATTTTGATTATAATTACATACAACGATTACACTACTGGAACATTATACAAACTATTTGGATTGGAAAAACAAAAAAGGAGAAAACAAATTTATGTCATATAGGTAAAAAGGCGTAGGTCATATGTTCGATTGGCTTACGTTAAAATTTGTCTTAATAGTTTAGAAACAATGCTTTGCTGATGCAATTAAAAAGTTATAAAAACAAAATTTGTCTTAAATATTATTCTCTTATTGGTAAAGTGAAAAAAATATATGTTAACACTTATTGAATTGAACAATATGAACGCACACTGCATAAAACGTCATTGGCCATAGGTTCCAAACGTGCTGTGGCTTCTTCAGGCAAACGAACTAATTGTCTTGTTGAAGCGGCCCACACCGAGAGACTGCTGACGCTTTGCTCTAAATGTCAGTCGCCCTTTTTATGTAACTCTATTTCTTCAGTTGTTTGCTGATCTTGTACGTCATGTTCTTCCACAATATTGCCCTGCATAATGGGTGGATTTCCTTTCAGAACAGAGCCACCAGTGAAGCCCAGAATACCACAACCAACTGCCGCCAAACTGCCAGCCTTCAATCCGGCCACCAAACCTATGGGACCACCGACGCAGGTGCCCAACAAAGCACCCATAACAGGATACATGGCTTTTTGATAAGTCAAAGCCTTGCGCAAGTTTCTTTCTCCAGCTTGCACTCGTTCCAAAGCCTCTTCAGCATTATCAGCTGCTGCTTGTACATTGACCGCTTGTTCTTGCACCATTTCATGCATATTATGAAACATTCCATTGAGATCCCGTATTTCGTGTTGTAAATTTTCCAACTCATCTAAACAAGCTTGTCGCTGCGCTAATGTGTACTCTTCGGGCTGAAAATCGGCTTCAATTTCTGGTATTATCTGGCAATATGCCTGAGTCTGAGTAATGTCTACTGGTGATAGCAAATCCATATTATGCTCGTCAGTGCCCTCGCCGTTAGAATATCCAGTGCGACGTTTATAATTTGGAGGAGCTTTTAACTGCAAATCTAAGTTTTCCAAAATTATTATTATGTTATTATCTATTTACTTAGTTAAGTGATTCAATATCCTTACTCATATATTCTTTCATTCCTTCAAAAGCTTTCTGTTTGCCCAGATCCATCATTTTATCAAATTTCTCCAAATCTTCATCACGCACTTTCGCTCTTAAATCATCCATTTCTAATAATAAGTTTTTCACTTGCTTTATAACACGCATAGCATTGATTTCCTCCTTTTTAATTTTACTCCAATTACCAAGAGCTAAGCTCTTCTCGATATTACTGCGGTGATTTTTCAACAGACCTAAATGATGTGGTATGGCCATGTCATTAAAACGTCTAATGGCTATTTCAGCCTGCTTCAAAGGTATTTTATCATTGTTTTCGGTGGCCATTATAAATTTGTCTGCTCCCCTTCTCACCTTACTCCAAGGGAAACAGAAAGGAAAAGTTGTTTACGTTTTCCTTGACTTTGGTATTGATTTCTGCTTTTTTGCCTAAATATCCGGAAAAATTTTTTAAAATACGATTTTAATTACACACGTTTCTTTATTAGCATTTTTGGTTTATGTTTCGTAATATTAAAGGTGATATTTAAACTTAATAATATTTCCGTTTTGCTATTGCTTAAATCGTAGTAAAATATCTTTGTTTTTCTTTTTTTTGCTTATCAGCCAAAGTTTCCTTTTACAGGCGAAAATGTTACCAGATGTTTAGAAATATTTCAATATCTTAATGGAGAACTTTGCAGCTGTCTTTCGTCCTAAGAGAAAATGGGATAACAAAGTATAAGTTTAAGAAATATTATTAACCAATTCATTTGTTGGCAGCGTAGATGCAGTAAAATAAATCTGTGCATGTGCATTCAGAAATAAATTGAAATACACACAGATCGATCGGAACGCAAGAATTTTATCTGGCTTTTAGAAGGTTGACACAATAAGGCGTCGTTTTCATTTTCGGGCTAAAAACTCCTAAGTTGTAACACACAGTTGCGCTACCATATTGTTTTACAAGAACATGCAAGCAAAACCATGTGGTTTTAGAACCATAAATAAATAAATCAACCTAAATATAAACAAGAAATTTCTAAAAAATAACAGTTTTGTTAATATTCATAATCTGTTTAAATTTTATGATACCATCGAGAGCCTTTTTGTGTATTAATTAACCCATAACTTGAAATAATTTTTTTTTTTTTTTTTTTTTTTTGTTTGTATTTGATATGGATTGGACCTTTTTACTTAAATTTAGATCCGTAATCCAGTAACTATATAGAAATCTATTGTTGATATTCATAATTTCACGTGATGATGAAATAATGATGCTTTTTTACTAAATTTTTTCAATTTTTTGCTTTCTAGGTTATGTTTGACTCTTTTCTTTATTTCTTTATTTCAATTGAGTAACACGCTGAAGTTCGTTGTGTACACCCCAACGACAGCATGAAAACTGGAAATAATTTCAATTCCAAAATAAGTGGTCTTTACTGTTTGGTTTTCATTTCTTGCAAAATAATGCATGGTATTCCATATAAATTCCAATGACATAATATATAAAAAATCTACATTAGCGTGAGGTAAACATAAATTAAATAAGGGACCTTAATATTTAAAACAAATGATACCAGTCCTCTTAATGCTGCGGACGGGAATTGCAACCGCTAGAAGAAGTTTATTGTCAGTTTTGTTTTTGTTTCTAGCAAGGTATAAATTAGTTCTACGTCCGTTCACTTCACATTTCAGATCTAAACGCAAGAAGGCTAAATTGCTCTTTTTTAGGTATAAGAATTGAAGTTGAGTAATTTCGCTCTTAGTTCGCATGTTTAAAAAAAAATTAACCGTCATTATGCCTAGGCCCTAAAGGAAACTTCAAACAGAGGCATCTGGGCTTACATTGCCACGAAGTGAACAGTACTTATATATTTCACACTTTTATGATTTAATAAATGTTGACATGAATTTTGATCAGCAACATGTATTGGTGGAAATGATTAAGTGGTGCGAAGTATCAACGTACATTCGATTCGATAATTGTGACCTTTCTCTTTAGAAAATACCAGTTGTCCATTTAATATTTTTTGGTATTATTCAGTGTACATAGGAGTTAATCATAGAACTCGCAATATTGCATTTTCGACATTGATTTCGTTGTTTGATTTGAAGGAATCTGTTGTTGAAGCTTATCCAACGCTTTGAGAAACGTACGGGGATGTTGCTCACCTAGGAACTTTCGGACAGCTTAGCAGTTGATGAATCAACTGTTTTTGAACGTTTATATCCAATCAAAAAGATCAAAGACGAGGGAAAATGGCCACCATACGAATCAATTAAAAATACCATTTATAAACGTTTGATATTTTACCAGGCAAAAGAAGAAGAGTTTTCTGTGGCGTATTGTGACCGGCAATGAAAAGTGGCTGTACTTTCACAATCCCAAGCGCAAAAAGTCATGGGTTACTCCAAAAGACCCATCTACATCAACATCGAAGCAGAATATTCATGGCCATAAAGTTTTGCTGCGCCTATGATGGTTGACATGGACAGTTGAACAAATAGAACGTTATATTGGTGCAAAAAAGACCAGGAATAATGCTTAACAGGCGCAAAGTCATCCTTTTGCAAGACCAAGGGTGGCCATACGTTGCAAGAGTTATCAAGAATACGCTGTTGCAGCTGGAATGGGACGCTCTCCCGCATGCAGCGTACTCACCAGACGTAACGTCGTCTGATTATCACTTATTCATATCGATGCAGCATGTCTTGCCTGGTACGCGGTTTCGAATTGCTGAAGAACAATGATTGGATCGCTGCCAAACCAATACAGTTCTTTCGATATGCAAAATTTTGGATGATCAGAATACATGCACTACCAACTACGCATTATATTTTGCCTTCTCATATCGTATACTTTACGAAACGTCGTAGTGAGCGTATTTTAATCCTAAAATGTATCAATACAATGTGTATATAGTCTTGAACTTAATGGTTCTCGCACGAATGTCGTTTATACTGATTTCAGTACAGTGTTTGATTTAATTAACTCTAACTCCAGGCTTCCCTTCCCTTTATACTTAATGAAATGAATAAGTTCTTATCTGCATAACAGATCATTCAGGTTTTTTTTTAACTTCATCACAGCGGATGAATTCCCCATGACGTCTGGCGTCCCTAAAAGCACACATTTAGGGCTCTTTTTATTTATTCCATACATCGATAACCTCCTTTGATTAAATCCAACCATGTCTTCATGTACGCTGACGGTATTAAACTGTTTTTTTTTTTTCTCCTTGGAATCACAATCGTATCAGCTTCAAACTATCATAAATAATTTGTTTAGATGGTGTTTGTTAAACTCTATGAAATTAAATCTAAAGAACGGCAAGAAGCTTCCTTTCTCAAGGAGGAAGTCATTCAATATTTTTTCACTGATTCACCCAGTTTGGAGAACGTGGATTCGCTCATCGATTTATGGGGTCAATTCGACCAAAGATTACGTGTTGATTTGCACATTGCGGTTTCTTTAAGTAAACCTAAATCGGAGCTAGGTTTCATTAAACGGTGATCTAAAGAGTTTATTGATCCTTACATTACAAAAAGGCTGTACATGAACTTAGTCACACCAATGCTTGAGTATGCCTCTGTTGTGTGTTCTGCTTGCTATAGATGCTATGCAGATTCAATAGAAACCGTTCAAAAACAATTCTTGCTGTTTGCCTTTAGGAATTTGGATTGAAATCCGTTTATCGCTTTGCTTCCTTACGAAAGTAGATTGCTGCTGTTAGCCTTACCGTCACTTGAGAAACCCAAATGTATTCTTTGCCTTTCCTTTTTCATTAAGTTAATAAATGGTATCACCGATTCGCCTACATCACTTGATGATATAAACTATAACTTGCGTAATCGCTTCTCAAAACACTTTATCCTCATAAAGCTTAGTCAACGTAAATTTAATTGTAATTGTAATCTTAACATTTCGCTATGATTCGAAAATTAAGTGGTATTCGTTACTGTTATCGGTTGCCAAGCATTCGCATGGTTACAATCCCCTAGAGATTCACTCGCAACTCGGATCTGTAGCGATTGTGGGTGTGCTCGATGTGTACATGCTTTTCTTTTTAATGGACGAATGCTAATTAAGTGGCTATTTATATATCCAATTCTTAATAATTATTTTTACAAATCATGGTCCACGGACCGAAGGCCGACCTTATAGCCACGTTTCTCATTTGTTAAGTTATGCGATATTGAGAATATCGCCCGTAAGCTTTCTCTAGTGTTTAGCTTTTTTCTTACGCAAGAAGAATTTCAAGCAAATAAAATCGCAAATATAATTAAAATCAAATGTGGCATATAAGGAAAGTACCGAAAGACTTTCTTTTTTTATTTTTATATAATTTTTATTTTTTCTCAATTCTCTCGGATGTTTTTGCACGCTACACCACTTGTGGTACAGGGTATATTAAGTTCGTGCAAACGTATATAACACGCAGAAGACACGCTTAAGAAATACCCACATTTTATTATACCGACAGGCCTAAGCCTGTCTGTCCGCTTGATGTCTGTCCATGTAAGTATAGATCGCAATTTATGAGATAATTTGATGAAATTTGGTAAACTAGCCTGTCTTTACCCGAAAACGAAAGGTATTGGAAATTTTTTGGATCCACTTTGGTCCACTTTTTCGACCACTCCCCATATGATGCCTTATATTGAAATGCGGTTATATGGAAAAAATTACAGTAATAGCATCTCGGCCCTGGTAACTTTTTGAACCCCCTATCATATAATGAAAACTGAACTTTATGCGATAAAAACGTATAATTTTTAATCGTTCAGATCTTAATAGTAATTTAAGATAAAAAAATTAATTAAACCAAATTTGAGTCATCCAGGCCTATTTTTGGATTCTACCCTATTTTGTTTATCCTAAATTTGTGTTTTTAAATATAGAAAACTCTAAGTTTTCATATTTACGTACCGGAATTGTTGAATCTCTTGGATAAAACCATTCTTACGGAAAATAAGCTTTTATTGGCAAAGTGGTCTCATTTTTAATATACACCCTCGTAATACTAAATTCAAATAAAAAGAGGCCATCATTTTTGTGTTTTATGGTAGAAAAAAGGATATGCTAGACAAGATGGAGAAAGTTATTTAATAGTCGGCCTAGCCCGACTATAATGCTTTCACTTGTTTTAAAATCGCTAAATTTATTTCTTTATTCAAATACTTAATATTTTTTACTAATTTATTTACATATATCCTATAAAATAGAGCTTTTATAAAAAACAAAGTTTCAAAGTCTGTTTTACGAAAATGCTAACTGAAAGCAGAAAGATATTCGAATAAAAATTCCTTAACGAAATTAACTAAATTTTGAAAAAAAAAAAAAAAAAAAAAAAACAAATTACAAAAAATTTCGGGAATGATTTTACATACAAAAGCACACATGCATAATATATGACATATATTTACTATGCATAAAAAGTATAAAAAATGCAAGAATATGGGGAAGACATCTACAGCTTTAGTATATTAATTAAGCTAAATATGCATAAAAAAATAAAGTAAAGAAAATGCAGTTCTTGTAATTTCGTTTTTATAAGTACAATTACATTAAAATTAACGTCTACGGGCAATGAGTATTCGGTCCATTTCTACATTTCATTAAGAGGTTAACCATGCCTTCCAATTTTAAGGTGCGTGTTTCGGTATTGTAGAGATTCGTTTGCAAGCGATTAATATCAAATTGCTGTTTCTCCTAAAATGAAACAATCAAAATATTATGCGATAAATGGTCACGCTATAGCCAACTCAATGAACATTTGATATTAAAATAATTAAAAATAAGTAAGAAACTTATATTCGGCGGTGGCCGAATCTCGCATACCGAACCCTATGCTATTCGCATTCTACTCTCCATGCTCTCTTATTTCGATACCCATATCGCTGGTATTATTAAGGAAAAACTAACCACTAGGTGGCGATGTCTATCGTGTTCATTTCAGAGATTAGCCCATTTTCAGGCAGTTAATATATCTTCATTTGAGGAATGCACAAAATAGTTTCAAACATTCTGCCTTGCGTGGGTGGTGATAAATAGACGTGAAATCTCAAAAAAGTGAAAAAAAAAAATATGTAATCACTTATAACTTTGTGTGGGCATGGTAAAGTGTAGAGTGTATCGTAAAGTAAATGTCGAAAATTCCAATCTTCTAAATTTTATAACTTGTGAGTAGTAACGAGCAAAAACCCATCAATTTTTGTTAAGAAAAACGGAGTTGCGTTTAGCTTATGCTCGATTGCCGGCTTCTGCTCTAACCAATTTCTCCCGTTTTCAGTACCAAGCTCTATCAAACTTGTAGCCGATATCTTATTTTTGCGACCAGGAGAGTGCCACCAACAAGTAACGCACGGACATACAGAAACACAGACGGACACACATGACTAAATCAATTCGGAATTGCATCCTGATCAACAATATATATATATTTTATATGGTCTCTGAACCTTTCTTTTCGGTGCCACATATATCATGAAAATAAACAACATGAGTATATCCCCATTTTACAGTGTTGGGTATAAAAAAAGCAAAGAAATCAGAAAATAATTACGTTTTATTTACCAGATTAATTAAACGACTTTTCAATATATCCACCATTTTATAGGTATTCTGCAGGGTTTTCTCCAAGTCATGCGTATGCACTTTCTCATTAGCCAACATTTTCTCAATTTTCTGTAAACGAGCCGTTACGTCCTCCTGTGATTCAATTTCATTTTCCATATCGCGTGCCTCAAAAGCATCATCGTCGTGTGAACCTTGAGAGATAAGATCGCCTACGAATCTTTATCATTACTTATAGATGAAAAATTTTAGAATACTTACCTATTTTTTTGCAACTTTGTTGATCATCTTGCAATAGGAAGCCTTCGCGGCATTTACAATAATATGAACCCATAGTGTTTACACACATTTGATCGCACGGTTTCTTGTCATTGCACTCATTTATATCTTGTTCACAATAACGTCCAGTAAAACCAGTAGGACAAGAACAGGTATCTGGGGCAGAACATATACCACCATTATAACATGCTGTTGAACAAACCGCTGTAAAAATTCGAGTAGTTAGTGCTTGTCGAAAAGACGGTTAGCAAAAGTGCTTGCAATCCCGGATATTTAAAAGTCTATATTCATACGAATATATTGCCTTATGCGGATTTGAATGCGAAAGCATTTCAAAATATTAATATCTGCTCTAAGACTACATTATAAGGCTATATATCTGAACGAGAATAATTTTCAACGCAATTGTCTACCAATACTAGAATATTGGACCACCAGTATGCCCGCAATTCGACGGCATTGCAATAAACGTACTTGGCAAAAAAAAAAGCATAAAAAAAATCTATTGATATTTAGACATACATATATTTAAGAAGAGTTTAAAAAAAAAAAAAAAAAAAAAAAAAAAACACACTTTTATTGGCGCTTTCTGGACTATTGTGTCCAAAGATGTTTTATTAAAAAGCGTTCTTTTAACATTTCACCGCATGTGATCACTTTAAAGACTAACATAGAAACGGGAAACGGGGGACGTAGATATCAGCCAAAGTGTCTTCTAACATTTTTTCTTTTTTTCGTCCCTTTATTTAACTCCATGAACGAGAAAAGTACACTGCTTCTTGTTTGAACTTGAACTTTGAACTAAACAAATGTACACGTCCGTGTGTGAATAATTTTCATGTAGAAAAATGTCCTTTTAATTAAAACAAAAATTTTATTTCGTTACCTTTCACTTTTTACACTTTTTACATTTGCCTGCCAGACATGAAATGAACGAATCTAATCTCTTACTACTATTTCATCTGCTTTATACGTTTTCTTTTTAAACATTTTCTCAAGTCCCACTTACGTTTCAGGCATGCATCGGCATTCGGCGATTCTCTTGTCCAACCATTGCAACAATCATAGGTGACCTGTTGTGCTGATTTGTGACGTATGACATCACGAAATGCTGGTTCGTGCATTACTTGGACGCGTGTACACATTTGATTTGGATGCGTTTGCGATTGACACGGTGTACTGATGTGCCTCAGCACTGGACGTGTGTAAACTTCAGTTTTCTTCTCTGGTATCGTTATGGTACGCTGTTGCACGCAAATGTGACGCCTGTTGTATGATAAAAAAAAAAAAATAAAAAGAAAAAAGTAAAAGGAAAAGGAGAAGAAAATATGTATAAATAAGTAAGCAAATTATATTTGGTCGGGATCGAATCTTTTATACCCATCACCGTTATCCTAGAGAAGAAACAAAAAAACAAATAAAAAAAAAACTAAATTTTCATGTTCTATAATATGGAGTAGATGCAGCTGATTTTTTCTATTTTCAAAATAAACATTTTTACCGTATAGACATGTGCGCGTTGTAGCCGTGTCCTTGAAAAAGTTTCGGTCATTGCCAAAATTTTTTGCAAATTTCTAGGCGATAACTTCATTTTCGCTAATGGGAGAATGTTTCCCGCAGATACTACACAAGTTGGGCGGACGGACAGACAAACATGCTTAAATCGCTTTCGAATTCGATATTTGATCAAGAATAATTTCTCTGATGCGTCCTTCTGGGCGTCGCAAACGTTTCGACAAAATGAATATACCACTGATGCTTCGTTGATGGGTATAAAAATGTCTCGACCGAAATTCATTGAAATATCACGTCACTCCGCTTCGCTATGATTTTATTAATTCCATTTTCATTAAAACACATCACTTGCATCGCCACTACGGCGAGAAAAATCAATTTTAAAATTTTTATATAAAAGTGAAAAAAGTTTAATTTTCTCTTAATACCTCTTTTTATACCCATCATCGGAAGGATAAGCGGTATATCCATTTCGTTAAAACGTTTGCAAACTTATATATATGCTTGATCAGCATCAAATTCTAAATCGATTTAAACACTTCTATCTGCAGGTCCGTCTGTCCAACTGTGTAGTATCTGCAGCAAATATTATGCCGTTAAAGAAAATGAAGTTGTCGCCTAAAAATTTGCAAAAAAATTTGAAAGTGAACTAAACTTTTTCAAGGACACGCCTACAACGCCCACATGTCTATACGGTAAAAATGTTTATTTTGAAAATAGAAAAAATTAGCTGCACCCACTCCATATTATAGAACATGAAACTTAAGTTCTTTAACTTTTTCGTTTCTTCTCTAGGATAACGGTGATGGGTATAAAAGATTCGATCACGGCCAAATATAATTTTCTTAAATGTTCTTTTTTTTTTTTTTACAAATTGAGAAAGTGAAGCAAACAGTGGTTTGGTCGGCTTAGGTTACGTTATAGGTAGCCAACGCCGTCCAGTTTACATTGAGATTATATACATATATACATATATATATATATATATATATATATATATATATATATATATAATTAGTATATCTGTTCGTCCGTCTGCCTATGCCAAACACTCTCAAAAGCGTATAAGCTGACCGTTAGGATCATTTCAAAATTCCGATTACTTACCCTACAAAAGGTTATTTATTTTAAAGAAAAGCTACGGCTGTCCTTTGATGGAAGCTTGTTTCTAAACGTACTGCCTCGATAGAATAGATAAAAAATTTGCGTAACTTTCTCTTAAATGGGGAAGTTGCAATTGACTAGCTCGGGTTAATTGATAAATTAAATTAAATTAAATTTTTAATGCAAATTTCAAGCTTCTCTTTACCTATCTCTCAACTCTTCATAATGAGAATTTGCTTTGAGAAATTACTTTTTGCGGTAGAATATCGTTTAACTTTCTGCAACCTATTTATGGTGCATTATACATGGAAATCTTTTTTGTCCTTTTTTCTTTCTGATTTGTTATTCATTGCATATTTTAATTACACGTTACGGTAGTTTATAGGTCTGTGCAACATAAGCAACGGGCAAACGCTTCTAAATTTCCCCTCAAAATTTTTCCAGCATACCTGCCTAGTATTGTAGTAATCGTTTAAGCGGTAGTTAATTATTAAGAAAAAAAAGAAAAAAAAAAAGAGAAAAAGGAAAAGGAAAAAAAAAGCAGACTTATGCATGACACCAAATTAGCATTTGTTGGTGCCTGGCTATTGGTGCAACATGACAAGAAGAAGATATATGTTGGCTTCTTTTTTCTTTTGCTTTTGCTTTTGCTTTTGCTTTGACGACGATGACGATGGTGCTAATGTTTGATGTGTCCGTTCTTTGCGCGAATGCAAGCAGCTATAGCAACTGGTCTTGTTCAGTTTCCGCGTATCTTAAACCACTTTTAACTTGTTGTTGAATTATGGCTCATGTCTTTCACATGTAACCATCTATGTATATATGCATATATGTATGTGTGATATGGCTGACGGCGTATTGAAGTCGAAATAACAGTAATTGCCGCCAAAAATGATATTTTCATTGGGTAGGGATTGTAAATTGTTTTTCGCTTCGCGTTAATAATCGATCGAAAAGAATAAGAGAAAGAAGTCAGGATAATGAGAAAAGAAAGTAATGCGCAATGAGATCTTTAAGGTTGCTCCAAAAAAAAAAACCATCTTACAAGGCTATCATCTAATGTTAGCGTTTATTATAAACCGGCAAACCCGTACATAATTTGTTTCAACACACGACGAAAGTTTATTTGAAAACTTATCTGTGATAAATGAATTCATTGCATTTATTAAAAAAACGATAACACTCAACAACACTCAATAGAATTATGAAGGTTCGCTATTTACGAGTGAAGAATTATTAAGACATCCAATATGCTAGAAGTTCCAGAAAATTTTCTCATTTTTCACTTTTAATACGAATCACACGTCTTTAGGGCAACGCAAGTACTATTGGATGAATTTGTGGGAGAAAAAGGGATAATTCATTGTTACACATACAAGTCGTAGTGTAGTATTGTCATCTCTTTGGCAGTCTCATACGTAACAAGCGAAAATCCTCTGAAATCTCATACTATATCTCCGATCAGCGTAACAATATTTCAGAGACTTAGCTTTGTTTGGTCTTCTGTTTGTCCGTGTTTTTCTCAAAATCGTAGGAATTGGGCGAATGGAAAGCGGAAGTGTGAGACCAACGTGTTCACTTTACACCTATAAATCCAATTGAAAAAAAACGCTTGATCCGCCCACACTAATTGGAAAGACGACGACTTTATAGATTTTTTTTCATGGCCTAAACATCAGCCGAACATTTTACACGACTACTTGCCGACGATATTAATGTAAAATATCACTGGAAAGAAAAAACCCCGATCGGTTATGGGGAAAGTCCCCATTTACTAGAAACTCGAAATTTTTGAACCAATTCAGCATCGCTTGGAGGCAATTTAAAAATCAACCCTTTTTTTTAAATATGTTTGTATGCAACAAACAGAACTGCGGATAAAAGTCGCATATATCGGTTTTATTCAAGTTAAGACACATCGAACGGCTATCAAGCGTGTACCGTACCGTGTAAATTAGCTAACTTAACATCGTTGAACTATGTTCGCTTAAAAATTGCATCGCTTGCAGTATTGTGTTTGCGGGCGTCAGGATGACGAACTTTTTAGATAGAGTATAGGGGGGGGAATTACCGGACTATGCCTTAATCGATCATTACTCGGAACGATGTAATAGCGCTGTCACCCGATTTACGCACATTTTCCACAAATGATATTTATTTTTTTTTTTGCTTTTAGCACGAAACTGCTCAAAGACTCCAAGCGGGGTAGTAGCGGGGTTCCGGGGTAGTTTATGCCATTGCGTAAAGCTTGCCTTCTAACAAGAAAACATTCAAGCACGAACTTCTTCATTGGTCTAATTATGCCGCTTCTAGATGAATTTTCGAAGCTACGAGATTGAAAGTCTATCCTTTCGAATGTTGTCCTGATTCAGTTTCGCCGAACGATCTAATTGTTATTAACAAAAAATTATATATATATATATTTTTTCCTCTTATTAATCGAAATTTCTAAAACTCATTTTTCTGTATTGTGTTTACTTAAAATATTATATCCATAAAATGCAATTATTTTAATCATCGTAGAGAGAAATTCAAGCGTAGGCTACGAAATGTCACATTACCACTGATATGTCGAAGAAAATTAAAATTCAACAAAATAATATTTTCACAAATGATTAGCTGGATCTGTGAAGAAAATCGACACTCCTCTAAAATTTACAATAAATAAAATCAAGTAAAAAGCACAACAAACTCAAAAGCAAAGATATAGTAGTTAAGCAGACGGATACTTAAGCACAGACAGTATGACGCGCGCGCCAATGTCTTTAACCATAACGTAAACCTACACATGAATCGTTGAATTTTTTCTACAGCGATTATTAAGACGATATTGGGCACAAATTGCGAAAAAAACAAAAAAATGTAAAAACAAAAAGAAAACGACTCGTAATGGTTGTATTTTTTGTTTTGATTACCATTCCTTTACTTTGTAAATACGTACAATAACAAATATATGTAATTTTATTTATTTATTTATTTATTTATTTATATATTTTTTTAGACCTCCTTATGCCTAATTTTTATTTCATGAAGAGAAAACGAATTAGCGATGTTCAACTATGCAGTTTTGTAACCACAAGTTTAATCTAACTTTTCAGTTACAAGAGAGTTAATGTTAATATATTAAAGATGAGAGTAGAGTGCAGCAACAAATGTCACCAAAATAGGGGACACTGCTCTAGTGTCTTCAACCAGTAAGGCATTCACATCAATTATTAACGTTCACGGGCTCTGTGTGTCTTGTGTAAAACGCATTACCGGAATCTCATGCTAAGGCTGAGATAGAGCAATTTCGCCATTGATCGAATGTCGTTTAACCCATCGCTTGCATTGCATGCGTATGCTAGGTTTTTTTAGAAATACATTTTCTTTTCACTTTTCAGTGATTGATGAAACATCACACAGGTACAGATAGCATAACATACTCTCGCACTGCTAAACATTAACACAACATAATGTATATAAAAAATGCATAGTAACAGAATAACATAACTAGAAAATCGTTTGTTTCGTACACAACACGGAGAGATGAGATCATGAAATTCATCAAATCCATAAGGTAAAAATTAGTAAGAAATTCAGTGATTGGCGCAAACGGGGGGACGCCATAGTACGATCTATTCCCTTTTCTTCATTTTCGCTTTCCC